GAGGCCATATTTGAAGATGACCGTGGTGGTGAATGTTGGGGGCTCAGTAGAGAATGAAGCTGCACTAGCAGGGAGTTATGTGATTGGCTAAGCCCTTGTTACACCGAAGCAGGTGAGGCCAAAGCAGAAGCACCCTTTTAAGAGAACTTTGGTTTGGGGATAAAGCCATCTTCTGGAACTTTCCATGTTCTAAGTTTTCCTTGGTGGGAAACCACATTGGGGGCAGAAAGGGAAGGCAAAGGAAGTAAGTCCCAAATGGGTTCACTCGGAGCAGATTTCAAATCCCTTTGAGAATTTGCATTCATCTACTCATTTGACTATCTAGCTGCAAGCTGATGCAAATGGTCCTTGCAGTCTTTCACTCAGAGGAAGAGGCTGGGGAGGAGAGAGCTAGCATCTTCCTTTGGGATGTTGGCAGAGGAGAGATGCCTGACTGCCCAGGTTGTGTGGCAAGCTGTAATCTATTTTGGTCAAGATTTTGATTGTGGGCTGTGTCTGGAGGTGAAGTAGCATTTCAGTTGGTTGTAAACAAGTCTTACCTCTTCCAGCAATTGTCCTCGATTTTCATACTTGCAAGTCTATAGAATCAGAGTGATAGAGATTTAGTGCTGGAAAGTGTGTATGTTTGTGTATTGTGTGTGTGTGTGTGTGTGTGCTGGTTTGTTGCAGGTTTGTCAAGCTGGAGAGAGAAGAACTCTAATATCTGTGTTAGGCAGATACAGATCTCCATTTAATCATTTCTGAGGTGCTTTGCAGAGTAAAATTCTCCCAGAAACTGAAGCTCAAACCTTCAGTGAATTGCTTTATGGTAGTGGTTAGAGGGGAATAGAAGCCAGGAGGGCCACCATTTTTCTTTCACATGAAGATTCTTTTCCAACTGGAAAGAAATTGTCAACCTGGTCAAGGGCACTTTTCACTGCCAGCAGGCTGCGCAGTTGTGTCTCAGGACTGGATTCTGTGTCCCCACAGCCCGGTGCTCAGGGCTTTGTGATGTGGCTCCTTTATGTTCAAGGCTCTTTTCAAACAGTAATATTCATATTTTCAGTCCCTAACTGAACCCAAACACATGCAAGCCGAGCCAGGACTTCCTTAACAGGATGAGAAAACAACATCAAGGAACCTCACTAAGCCATTTAAAATAGAACGAAACCTACACATTTCCTAAAGCTATTGAACTGGAACACAACCAGATCAAAATATTCTCAGTAAACTTGAGGGAGGCAAGCCAATATTTCCTTTGGGTTGAGTCCATTGCCATAAATAAACATTGCCAAGTGCCCAGGTGTTCCTGGAGGCTGAGAACTCAGCCCAGGGGGATGCTGGGCTGGGGCCCTGGCTCAGACAACCACAGGGTGCAGACTGGGGTAGCCCCTCATGTGTGGTGATGTGTTTGTGTTGTTCCATGGTGTTCAGATAAAACCAAAGCTGTGGAAACTTTCCTTTGCAGGTATGTTTGGGGGGAATTCCGACATATACAATAGGTCAAAGTGAAGTCACTCTGTATGAAGCCACAGTTGGTGGCTTGGTAGATCCTGGCTCAGTAGATCCTGAATAAAGTCTGAAGACTTAACCAGTTGCTCTTGAACACTACATGCTCTTTTCTAAACCCGTTCTCTGCAGTCACTCATTTACTCTTCACAACCGTCTCTCTGAGGCAGGATAACCGATGGTTATCCCTTTCTCACATTCGAGGACACTGAGGTGCAGGGAGGTTGAGTCAGTTGCTTGTGGTCACAGAGCACATGAGATGAAGTGTGGGACTTGGAGCCAGGGAGCTGACTAGGATTGTGCCCACTTTGCGGGATCAGGCACCCATCTCTGTAAGGCACACAAAACCAGAATGGAATAATAGAAACTCGGGTTTCTAGCTAGAATTCCTGATGGGCAACATAAATCTGGACATTGAAGCCCAAGGGGACAGAATCCTCTGGTGGACAAAATGAGCATCTTTGTGGATTCTGCCCTGTCCTCTTCATGACCGTCTTGCTCCTGACACAGCAGGTCACACTGATGTGTCCCTGGCTTGTGACACAGTATCTACACAGCTGCTTTGCCTGGAGTTGCTGGCAGCTGAGATCCCAAGACCAAATGATTCGTAAGTGTTGCTGTGTACCAGGAATGAATGGTTTTCTCTTACTAATTTTCTAACCCTTTAAGGGGCCTCCCAAGAGGCTGCTTTTTCAGAAATTCACAAAAGGAAAGGGAAGGAGGAATATGAATGTGTCATATTTTGCCAACATGACAGAAGAAATCATTTTAACACATTGGAAGATGGTTTTGTTACAAAGATATGCAATATCTCTATCTTTGATGTGTGAGCCACTAACACTACCTATTTATGAATGGAGCCATAACTGTCTTCGAGCAGGCTTTAAAGTAAAAAATGTGAAGCACTATTCAGTGCACGAAATACATTTCTTATTTTGCCCTTAAGAGTTACACTTCTCAGTCCACAGATTTTCATTTGCTTAATGGTGTTTTGTAAAGAGAAAGTTTTAATTTTGACGAGAGCTATTTTTCCCCTATCGATTGTGCTTTTGATGTCATACCTAAGAAACCTTTAATGCAGGGTCACAGAGGTCTCCTTTTCATATTTCATAGCTTTTTGGGGTCACAGAGCTTTTCTGACTTCACTCCTCCATTCACAACACTCATGCAGACAGACAGTGTGCAGGGGCTGGTTGTACAAAAGTGCCTGGACTCTCCCAGGTGGGCTAGTGAGGAGGACAGGATGCATGAGCAGGTTGCTGTCCTGAGGCTGATAGTTGCTGTCATGAGGGATACCCAGGAGGGGAGAGGTACTGGGGTCAGAGGTAGCAGGATGCGATGGGTGGTCTGATTTGGCATCTCCTGGCCCAAACTCTGATGGAGGGGACAGGCACAGCCAGGCTCAGGGCACCCCAGGACAGAATTGCTAAGAGGGCTTGGGAGAGTGAATAGTCTTCTGCTCAGAAATTAGGTGGTTTTTACTGACAGATCTCCCATTTCAAGCTGACGGCCAAAGGTTTAAAAAAAAAAAAAGTGAGTTCTTGAGTGTTGACAGTGAGGACTCAACCCTGATTGTCAACATGGCAACATCTTGGGCAGTTTGGGAGGAAGTTCCGCTCATCTGTTCTGTTGTCTTTTGGAATGTCAGAAAAGGCACCTCTAGCTTCCTTTCTGCTGACTGGGATCCAGGTTGGCCTTTCCATATAGGCTGAAGGAGAGGCAGGGCCCCCTGGAATTCAGTCTTTCCCTCAAGGGAGGTGACTACGTGGCATCTGGCTGGCAGCGCCTGCACTAAGCTCCCTCTCCTGGAGAAGAGGCTTTTGATGGTGGCGTTTGCTTTGGTTGTGACTCTGAAGAGAGAACAAGTGTGCTTCCTGTCTAGCATGATTGGCACTGGGGACTATTCTAGAAGGAAATGACAAAGGCATTGGAGCAATGGGAGAGTGGCTCAGGTTTGCATTCAGGTTGGAGCTCAGAGCTTGGAGGCAGAGCCTGGTCTCAATTCTGGCAGTGTGCTCACCGGGGAGCTCTTAGACCTGCCCAATCAGCAGCCCCTCCCCGACCCCCCAGAATTGGGTAGCAGAGATGGGCCCATAATGCCCAAGGTGTGGCTATCACTGACAAAATCTGCTTTTTACGAAGATCCCCAGGTGATTTGCAAGTGATTTCAGGCTGGAGAAGCAGGGGGTTTTATTCAGTGGTTTTGAGGCCCCCTGTGAACACCCCAGCTAAGAGGTCATCTGGGTTCTGCATAACACCCAGACACAGATGGCCAAGGCCAGCCAGTAGATCAGAGTATCCTTATATTCTCCTTTCAGATTAGGCTGGTTAGGCAGGTAAATAGATAAATTGCTGTGCTGACTTGCAAGGGCAGTCCGTTGTTACCTTACACCTCCTTGTAAGGCAAACTGTGTTCAAGGCTTGAAGGGAACAGGAGGATGTGGTAGGTGATTCCGTGTCCTTTCCGCTTCAGTCTCTCTTGTGCGGAGTTGTGAACAAAGCAGTGTCGTGTAGTGATGCAAATTAGTTGTCATCCCTAGGTCTGTGTATCTAAGGATTTAACTGCCCTGTGCTCGTTCTGATACCAAGAAGACAACATGGGTCATGGCGGTTCCCCAGCTTTGGGGCATGTCCAGACCACCTGGCAGCTTGCTCATGGAGCCCCACTGTGTAACCTCTTGGAATTCAGTTCATGGGTCGGGAACTGATGCGTTTTTAGTACTGCTAAGTGGTGCTGATGTTTTAGACACAACAGCTTCAGATGCGCCTTTAGCACCGCAGGCACTAGCTAGGCTCTTGATACTGCACTCTGATGTGGAATCTAGGGCCAACTTTCAGCAACCCACAGTGCCTGGGACGACTTCAATGCAGAAATAACCCTGCAGCATTCTGAGATGACAAAATTCTGTTTCCCAAACCTACATCCAAGTCACTAACAAGCAATGTCATTTGCTTCATTTTGCATTTTTTGTTTCTACCTGCCTGACGGTTGACCGTTCTAGTCTATTGTGGGATGTGTGCCCTTGACATCTAGCGTGACTGGCACAGGGCTGGCTTAGAGCCAGAGGTCTGCTGTAGGTCCCCTATTGGTTGGTCCAGACCTCTGACCTCACTAGAATTACGTAGTGTTGCCCTTATTAATTGCTGGGGTGAGGTCCTAAAGTCCTTTAACTCTGAAATCACCCCAATCCTCAGGGAACCAGTAACCCCTCAGCACAGCACAGGATCTAAGCCACTCTGACTGGTGGAACTTCTGGAAAATTCCCCCACCTAAGGCAACTGCTTGGATTTATAGTGTGCTGCTAAACATGATCTGCAGAATATTCTAGAAAGGGAGCTGCTGGTCAGTGTGACCAGACTATTGTGCTTTATACCTGAACTGAGTGGAGACCAAACTCACCTCATTAGTGCATCTTGCCTGTTAGATTTCATTTTATAGTATTAAACACAGAGATGTGGGCTTTTTTAATAAAAAATTTATTGAGATGATGCAATTATAGGCTTTTCTTTTAAAAATTATTTGCAACTCACTGGCCCTGAGAAAAGGCATTTTTTTTTGTTTTTTTTCTTTTTTTTTGTTACATTCATTTGATTCAGTCCCTTATAAACCCCACAACTCATAAACAACAGATTAGAAATTAAACCAAAAAAAAAAAAAAGAATTCTAGATTCGTTCTGGTTTGCAGGTGTTTGACAAAGAGAAATCAAGAATGTTCACTTGGCGTGTGTGAAAGACTCAGGGAGTTTGTTGTTTAGTGTTGATGCAGACGGGGCCAGAAGAGAATCAGATTAGTCTTCTGTGGTTTTGGACAGGCAGGGATCAGTGCCCCTGTCTCTACCCCACTGGCTTCCTTTCTCCCTCCTTCCATTTCAGGATTTTGCTCCCAAGAGTGGCCGTGGGGGGGTTGGGGGGGAGAACTAGCACCAAAATGCTTGGACAACCGAAGTGACCTTTGTTCTTGGTGTATTTTCCCAGACATGTTATCTCCAGCTTTTGCGGTAGGGATGGCAGGACTGAGCCCCACCCGACATGCTGTCAGTCACCTTAAACTCTCAGATACTCAGGTTTTGTCCTGCACAAGCAGGTTAATGTTTCCAAAATGTATTCAGAACTGGATGCCAGGCAGTGAAAGGTGGACATGGTGGTAACTCAGCCATTGAGAGGGAACCTGTCAGAGCCATTTACATTTCAGCTGAATCTACAGTCTCATTTGGACAAGATGTCAGTATAAAAAAGACAATGGATCTGAGGATGCCAGAGGAGAAAATCCATCTGGTTTTCTTTTCCTGAGGCTCCCCACCCCACAAAGGACTTGCAGCATTAGGAAATCTGCCTTAGGCAAAAGACCAAGTTGCCAAGAACCAAGAGGCTTAGGACTGTCTTGGGCACAGCTTTATTCCCCAGAGCCAGCCCAGTCAGCTGCCATTGCTTGCTCCTCCCGGGGGAGGGGGCAGCCCGGTTAACCCACGGGGTAGGAGGAAAAGAGGCGAGGGAATTTCAAGACAACGGCGAGAACTCCTGCCCCCTCCCTGTGCTGTCTCCCCTGCGTCTCCCAGTCCCAATTTTGGATGTTGAAGCCAGAATTCCATGCTAGGGGCAGGAAAAGACCAACGTTCCGCTCATAGGTGCGCTTTGAACTTGGTCTCAGGCAACATTTTCATTACCCCTCGTCCTTAGTGTTGAAGCGAACAATTTCATGCCAGACAGATTGTGTGGACAGGAGACCAGTCTGTTGGAGGGGAGTGATTGTGTCTGACTTTTCTCTAATTACTCCTAGTATCCAGCAGATGCGAGGGTGCTGAATGGAATAGGAAATCTTTGGGCTCTGCAGTGTGTGAATACCGTGCCCCAGGGGTGAGCACTGCCTGGGTTTTCTCCTCTGAGAGCTAAATATGACTTCTGCTGCTAAGGAGATCAGCAGGAAGCCTTTACTGGGAGGTTCTGGATCAGAAACACAAACACCATTGACATGAGCACCACCCAGCTCTTCCACATGATTCTCAGAAGCAACTGCTTCAACTGTACAAAGCCATGGGGCAAAAAGAGGTGTTCCTCAAAGTTCAACTGTAAGATTCGTTAAACGCTAAGTCCTGAGTCCTTCTATCTGGGGAAGCTGTCCTCACCTTAGTAGTGGGGCACCCTCCCGCTGAGTCTCATTCCAGAGTGACACCAAAGGCCTCTGTTAAAACCTTCCCTTCTTCTCCAGCCCTTGAGCCAATGCCTTTCCACACAAGGCAGGCATTTGACTTATTCTCCCTAGCTAAGAGTCATCAGTCATCTCAGCGGGTGGGAAATACTTTGCTGGGTGCTCTGGACTTTCCTGGAGGCCACTGTAGCACCCTGGAATCCAGTTGGGCAGCATCCTCATTTAAGCAGAGGGGGGTAAAACCCACTTAAAGGGGACCACCTGGCCCTGACCTCACAGCAGGCCGAAGGGAGAGTGGCTGGCTACCATGTGTGCCACTTGTGGTCTGAGGAGAGGAGGCTTCGAGGCCAAGTGCCCTTGAGCCCAGGCACTCCGCTCATCCAACCCCCAGCCTGGTGTCTTCCTCAGTAGGAAGTCCTGCAGCCTGTGTGTGCCCATCCCAAGTGCCTGATTCAACTCAAATAGCTGAAGAACAAGTCTGGGGGGTTGGGATGCTCACCCCACTACTCAGAGGGAACAGAGCGACAGGTGCTCTGGTTGGTAGGTCTAGCCTCTTGGATTATAAAGGACTGTCCACCTCACACTGGATTCTGGACCTATGTTGAAAGAGTCCATTTAGATGGCCGGAGAAAGCAAAAATAGTCGAAGCTAGATCTTTAAAAACAGGTGATCCTCACAAGTAGGAAGAAGTGGCATTTCCCTCGTTTGACAAGATTGACCTTGTGAAAAAGCCAGAAAAGGGTCCATTTGGAAACCAAGGGCCTGTGAAAGGAGGACGGGAGGAGAAAGGAATGGATGTGAGGCATTTTGTTTGCCCAGCTGGGGAAACGCAGGTAACAACAGAGTGAACAGCAAGACCCTCCCCTCTAAGGTCCTCATAGGGCCCAGGAAACCCGGGAAGAGGCTAGGAAAGGAAGAGAAACTAGGCGAGGGCAGGAAAAGGACCAAAGGTGGCCTCTGGGGGGGAGCGGGTAACCCCTGCTCCCCTCCACCCTCTCCCTCGATCAGCTGCTTTGGGATAAAAAAATCGCCATTTTACCCAGTTAGGACGCCCGCAGGCCTGGCTGGTCTTTGTGTTTCACTTAGCTAATCCCAAGAAGCTGGGCCTTCCACGTCACTTCCTCCTCAGAGGAACCCCCCATCCTAAGTGCTGGGGAACCACCAAGCTGCGGGGTCCCCAGCCTACTGGGCAGCTCCAGGGTTTTGGGGGTGTGGGGTTGGCTTTGGGGCACTGGCCACAGAGCACCCAGGCCACAGATTCCCTACAGGGGTCAGCAGTTTCTGAGACTCCATGAGACTGATGTCTCTGTTGAAGGCATCTCGGACTCAACAGCAGGTGGGAGAAGGGCGGCTGCAGGAAGGCAGAGGAGGAGCGAGAGCGAGTGAACAGAGAGCTCTCCATGTCACTCTCTTTTTTAAAAAGCATCTTTTTTTCTTCTTTTTTCTTTTTTTTGTTTCAGCCAAAACCCACTGGCAAAGGAACCAACTGATCCATGTAGCAGGTAAAGGAGGAGCCTGAACTCTCCCACAAACATTTCCTCTCCTGACTGGCTGGGCTTGCTGCACTTGGTGAGATTTGCAAAATATATATATATATATATATGCATATATATATAAAACAGATACATTTCCATAGGAAAACAGCCTCGATGTCTTCCCCGGTATGAATGATGAAAAAGTCAAACTGCATGTCCTTTAAGAAACAAAAACACCATGAAAGTAACAGGTGAGAGGGGGAGGGTGAGAAGTCACAGATGGACAGATTCCAAATGAGAAGGAAACGTGAAATGCGCGTCCCAGGTTCTGCCCTGGCCAGTGTTCCAGCCCCGCCTTGGTTGGGGCGGAGTGGGGGGTCGTCTAAGGTGCTCTGGGGTCCCTCCTGGCAAGCAGGAGAAGTGTGGCTCCCGGGTCTGGGTCCCTTCCTCCTCTCAGCCCGACTGCTCCAGCTCGCCTCCGCCATCTGGGGACTGGGCCGGGGGTTCCGCCGGCCTTTTGAGGTGCTGGGTTGGTTCCTTTTCAGCATTCATCTTCTTGGTATATTTGCTCGTCCAGCTCCTGGGATTCAAGGTGTTCCAGACGGTCTGTTCGGCCACTCATGATTTCATCTGGGGTTTTCATAAACCTTTGGCAGAGGAGATGGATGGGCAAAGAAATTACATTTTCCTGATGTTACCTCCACCTTCCCTTCCAAACTCAAAAATAAAGCCCCACCATCTCATTTAGTTGGGAAGGTACTGCGCCCCAGGAATACCAACAGTGCACGTCAGAAAGACAGTGCAATAACTAGGCAAAGGCCCAGGAGGGCTGGCAGCTGGAGGCGCCCGGTGAAGTGTGTGCACAAGCCTGCCATGAATGCAGAGAACTGCTCGCTTCTCTGTGCTGCTAATTTTAGGGAGATTTTACAGAGACCCATGGGAGCTGCACACCCATTTGCATCTGAGCCCTCAGCCCAGGGAAGGCTTTCAAATCCTGGATTTGAACTCAAAGGATACAATTAAAGCTGAATGGAAAATGCTGATCACAGGGCGAGTCAGTGGTGCTTCTGGAAACGAGAAAGGCCAAAAGAAAAAGAACCTTTCTCGGGGTTCGGGCAGACCCTGCCAGCCAACCCCTTTGTGGGTGTGCCCTCGTGGTCAGGTCAGGTGGTAAGGCCTATCGTCCTGTGGGTTCAGGTCACTTAGACACCCTGATGGGCTTGAGCCATTTACAGAGCCCCCTCGGTGCCTACAGCCTCTTCCTGCCCATTCATGCTGCCTGCAAGCACACATTCATCCTTCCAGGCCCTGTTCAGAAGCTGGTGACGACCACTGATCAAGTCAAGGATATGCTCTTGCCTCTCGGCCCTCTTCGCTCTCTCCCCAGGAAACTCCTGTCTTCACTATTTACCAGCATGAATCCCCCTCGCTAGCCTGGCCTGTCTTTTTACTTTTATATCTCACAGCTGATGCCATCCTCCAAACTGTAAGCTTTTTATACCATGAGGTATAAACAGGTATATAAAACTTAGCCCTTTGCCTTCCAGGGGCTTACATCAGCTGTGGGGAAAAGGGCCTTACACAGAAAACAATTAAAAATACAAATGATGTGACAAGACCAGACCCTAGTGCTGGAAGAATGATCAGTGTGTGTATGAGCAACTGACGGCTTCAAAAAGGACTGTAGACTTGAGATGAACTGAGGGGGTGTATGTGTGTATAAAATAAGCAACAGCTGAAGGGATATACCTTTCTGGCGTAGGAAAGCATGTTAGTGTTCTAAGCAGGCTGGCAGGTTGGTGTGTGTTAATGCATTGGGAGGCAACCAGAGAGAGGTAAGATTGCTGAATTCATCCAGACATGAAACAAGAAGTTCAGACATCAGCTTCCATTACAAAGAAAATGGTAATGCTTTTGATTTTTCTTCGCTTCTTTCAGATCTCATACAAGTGCTTTTTTCACTGGTGGATGCCACCCTGGAATCTGCTTTTAAGAAATCCTGGGAAATGTAGCTCCCAGACTTCTAGCCCCCACAACCCTGAAGAGCCGGTGGAGAGCCCAGCAGTGACAGACCCAGATGTGGGAGGAGTCCAAGGTAAGTCTTGTTTCAAGCCTGGTTCCTTCAGACAGTGGTGATGCTGCTGCTGAGTAAAATAAGACTGGAAGGGGTAGGGTGGCTTCTAGAGTGTGAGGAAATGTCTCTTGAATGTGTTGCGATTAAGATTACTAATGTGATATTAAGCGGACGCATCTAATACAAAGCTCTTAATGTCAGATTTGGATTTTGGAGAAATTTTAGAGCTGAGTATGGAGCAGAGTGTACTCACTGAGGTGATAAGTGAAGTTGGGTTAAGGGAATCAATTCATTCAGGGAAAAAGTGTAGAACAGGAAGAAGAGAAACCAAGGCTAAGTTTAGGAAGAAAGATGAACAGAGTTTGAGCCATTCTATTTCTATTTACATCGAAGGATGGCTGACAGACATAATGGTTTTAGGGATACAATAGCATTTATCAGCATTTGTATACACTGAGAAAGGATCACAATGTCTTTGTATTTTTTCTTAGCCATTTTCAAATTTGCAATACAATATTATCTACTATTGTCCTGATGCTGTACCTTGTGTCCTCATAATTTATGAATAAGGAGGAGTTATACTGCCAGTTCCTCTTTCCCCAACTTGCTCCTCCAATAACCACCAGCTGTTCTCTGTATCTATGAATTTGTTTTTAGGTTCCACAGGTAAGTGAAAGCACACATATTTTTCTAACTTATATCATGTGACATAATGTCCTCAAGGTTCAGCCATGATGCTGCAAATGGTAAGATTTCATTTTTTTTTAAAAAAAATTTATTGTGCATATAGAACTGGGGTACTGGCCAGAGGTGCAGGGGTGGTGAGAGGATTCATCAAAGACAGAGTGGGGAGCAGAACAGGCAGATCAATGAACTACACTGCTGAGGGGAGCAGGGGGCGGGTCAGGAGAGGTCTGCCGCGCCATGTGGTCGCCATGTGGTCACCTCCCCGGCAGGCTGGGATCGAACTCCTGCCGAAGTGACTTTAGCTTCTTAGTGCTGTGCTTTAACTTGCTGTGTCACATTTTATTTTTAATGGCTGAGTTGATTTCAAACATATATGTCCCATCATTTTTCACCCATTCATTGGTTATAACTACTGTACATAATGATGTGGTGAACATAAAGGTGCACATAATTTTGAATTAGAGGTTTTGTTCTCTTTGGACAATACTATTTTCCATTGTGGCTGCACCATTTTCTGTCCCCACCACCAGCGTAAAGGGGCCCCTTTTGTCCTCTTTCTCACCAGCATGTTAGCTCGTCTAGTCTTTTTGATAACAGCCATCATCACAGGCATGAACTGATAATTCATTGTGGTTTTGATTTGCATTTCTTTACTGGTGATGCTGAAGACCTTTTCATGGGCTTGTTGGGGATGTGTATGTCTTTTTGGGAAAAATGTCTACTTAGGACCACTACCCATTTTTAAATTCAGGTTTGTTGTTTTTTTGGGCTAAGTTGAATGAATTCCTTATACATTTTGGGTATTAACCTCTGATATGATTTGCCAATATTGTCTCCCATTTAGTAGGCTGTCTTCATGTTTTGTCGACGGTTTCCATTGTTGTGTGGATACTGTTATTTTGATGTCATCGTACTGGTTCCTTTTATTGCTCTAGACTTAGGAATTGAATAAAAAAAAAAACTTCACTGACTTACACCAAGATCAACTGTATATGTTTCCTTCTAGAATTTTATGGCTCTAGTTCTTTCAAGTCTAATTCACTCTGAGTTAATTCTGTGAGATATTAGTCCATTTTCATTATTTTGCATGTGCTTTTCCAGCTTTCCCAAAAGTATTTACTGAAGAGATTGCCTTTTCCCTATTGTACATTTGTTTCCTCTGATAAAATGATCATTTATGTGTGGGTTTACTTCTGGGTTCTTCATTTTGTTCCATTCATCTATGTCTGTTTTTAAGTCAATATACTGTTTTGATTTTTATAGCTTTATAATACTGTTTTAAAGTGAAGGTGCATAAACTTCCAGCACAATTCAAAATTGTTTTGCCTAATCAGGGTCATTTGTGGTTTCATTTTAGGATTGTTCTATTGTAAAAATGTCACTGTGATTTTGATAGGGAGTACACTGAATCCTTTAATATGGACATTTTAAGCAATATACATCTAATGCATGAGCACAAAATCTTTAATTTCTTTAACCAATGTCATCTAATTTTCAGTGTCTAGGTCTTATCTCCTTTATTAAGTTTATTCTAGATTTTTTGATGCAATTGTAAATGGCATTTTCTTAATCTCTCCTTCATATACTGCTATCGTGTGAAACCATAGATTTTTGTACCCTCCTCCTGTAAGTTTTTGGTAGGTTTTAAGGCTTTTTTTAATACATTTTGGGAATTAACCTCTGATATGATTTGCCAATATCTTCTCCCATTTAGTAGGCTGTCTTCATGTTTTGTTGATGGTTTACATAAGAATGATCATCTGACTTCTTCCTTTCTAATTTAGATGCCTTTTCTTTCTTTGGCTTGCTTGACTGCTCTGGCTAGGTCTTCCAATAAAAGTAGCAAGAGCCAGCATCTTTGTCTTATTCCTGATCTGTGATGAAAAACTCAACTTTTCACCATTGAATATGTTAGCTGTGGGCTTGTCACATATGGCCTTTATTATGTTGATTCCTTCTCTGCCTATTTGGTGAGTTTTCTATAGCTGGATGCTGAACTTTATCAAATGCTTTTTCTGCATCGATTGAGATATGATTGTCATACTGACAATCTGCAGATGTTGATCCATTAATGCCTTTCTGGAATACATCTCACTTGATCATGACACATGATTCTCCATGTACTGTTGAATTTGGTTCATTAATATTTTTGACCTGTCATTTCTACTTTTATTTTGGGCTGATTTTGCATCAGGATAATGCTGGACTCATTAAATGAATTGGGAAACATTCTCTCCTCCTTCATATTTTGAAATAGTTTGAGGACAAGAATTACATTCCCCCCCCCCCCCGAAGGTAGAATTCACCAGTGGAGCCATCTAACCCTGGACTTTTACTTTTTTCCCTCTTGCTTTGACAGTGTATGTATGCAATGCTCAATTCCTTTCACATTATCTTTTGTGTCTTTACTACATCTTATTCACAAAAGGTAATAATGAATTTATTGTGAAATTTTACTTTAATTTTGCATATCCCTTATTTTAGTTTTACTTTTGTTTTTTTAACCTTCATACTAGCTTTAACCCACTACTTTTAACCCACTACTTTTACTATAAATTTACCTTCATCAGTGAGACTTTTACTTTCCTCTGTTTTCTAGTAACTAGCTAGTGTTCTTAAGCTGAAAATAAAGAAGCGCATTTTACATTTCTTGGAAGCTGGTTTAGTAGTGGTGACTCTTTTTGCTTTGTCTGGAAAGTTTTTTATCTTGCAAGGCAGAGTATTAGTAGTTGGAAGTTTTCTCCTTTTGGAACTTCGTATCATGCTAGGTCCTTCTCTCCTCCAAAATTTCTGCAGAAAAATCTGTGATAATGTTATGGGGGTCCCTTGTATATAACATTTTACTCTTGTTGCTAATAAGAGTCTCCCTTTATTTTGAAGCTTTAACATTGGATTACAATGTGTTGGTGGTGTGGGATATCTTTGGCTTCATCTTGTTCGAAAGTCAGATCTTCCTGGACTTACATATGTTTCTTTCTCCAGGGTAAGGAAGTTTTCAGTCATTACTTCTTTGGGCAAAGTTCTGCCCTGTTTAACTCTTCTGGCACCCCACTAATCTGAATGTTACTCCATTTGCTGTGGTCCCACAGCTTCCATTAAGCAATGTTCATTTTTAAAAATTCTTTTCTCTGAGGTGCTCTGGTTCTGGTTGGGTAATTTCAGATTACTCATTCCTCCTCCTTCATCGAGTCTTTTTGTGCTCTTCAGCTATTGATTCTTCGGGTCTACAGCTTCTGTTTGGTGCTGTCTTATTTTCTGTTTATTTGCTCAAGCTTGGTGACCATTTTTATGGTCATTACTTTGACGTCACCAAGTAATTACTTACTGAAATAAGGATTTCCCCCCCCCCCACCCTCGGGTTTGTTCTTTCATTTGGAACAAATTCCGTCCCCTCATTTGCCTGACACTGTTTATTTCTAGATGAAACAGCCTTGTCTCCCATTCTTGAAGGACTGACCTTGTGCAGGAGATGAACATCATCCTTTAACCTTGTCCTCGCTCTTTGTTCTCTCTCAAATCTTTGTAATTGCCTGCACAGCTGATTTTTTTTTTTTTGTCAGATCTCAACTGTTGAAGGTGCACTGTACTATTTGTTTTAGGTATATAGGCACAGAAATACAATCCTCCCTGGCCACCAGAGTCGGGGGCTCAGAGAGGGGCATCCCATGTGTGGGCTGCGGGAGCAGGAGTGTGTGGCTGGAGGGCAGCATACAGGCTGCAGAGTGGCATCTCCCAGCAGTGCCCACTAGCAGATGCCTTAAAGTTTGCAAGTGGGTCTCCTTCACCTACATCTAGGACACCTGCTTTTGTATTGGTCCTTGGGTGAGTGAGTCTGAGCCCTTTACGAATGGAATCCTATTTCTATAATCCAATAGGTCTTTTGACCTTAACACTTGCTGTTCTTCAAAGCTAGAGGTTTTGGAGATTCCTCTCTCTAGGACAAGCCCCAGAGGCAGGGCAGGACTCCTCAGGTGTGGGGCACAAAGCCCCTTGGCTCTCAGGAGGAGTTCCCTATTTGCGATCACTCTCTTGGTTGTGGGTTGCGACATAGCAGGTGAGGCTCCTGGTAAGACCATGTCTCTCTTTCTGTACCTTTCTCCAGGTGGCCCTGAGGGGGCTGCTTATACCCAGTCACACATGAACAGACATGTTCCAGCACCTGTACAGTGAGTGGCTTTCTTACTGTGCGAACAGCATGGAGGATTTAAAAACCTACACGGCGCAGCCCACTGCATACCTGGCTCACCCATGGACCTTGGTTGGGATCTGTGTGTCTGGGAGAGATGAGTGTGGCTCTCCCTGTGCGACCACCTTGAATCACTTCCCTGGTTTCCATTTCCTGAGTAGACTGTATCTTGCCACTTTCCACCAGTGAACAGGTGGCCCCAAATCCATCTCTACTCCCAACCTCCCCTGAGTGTCTCCATGTTACTTGTGCCTGTGTCAGGGGTCTACTCCTCTCTCTAGTGCTGTCTCCTCTCCAGCAGTGCTTCAGCTATAACCTCTGTGGTAGGTGAAATGGCTGCGATGCCTCAGGAATTCTGAAGAAAGGAAGGGCTAGCACTGCCAGACGCTCCTGAGCGTGCTGTCATGCATACGTTACCTCAGTTCACACACACCCCCTCTGAAATGAAAATTTCCTGAATCATCTCATGTCACATAAGCCTGGCATTGTCAACTCTACCCTATGCTGTTCCATTTCCTTTAAAAAATGTGGAGGACTCATTGACTGCATTTCAGAATCATTCCCGGGTCACGACCTTTGCTGTCAGACAAACAGTGATTCATAAAGGAGCTACCAGGGTTGCCAACCTAGGAGTCTAGTTTAATTCCTGACCATGGCAAGGTGCCTGTGATTGTTCCATCGATGCAAAATTTTAATAATAGGTAATACTCTATGATCACTTCACTATGAGAAGCGAGTCGAGCTGTATTTATTTAGCTTTATTGGGTTTTACTATAGGGCAGGCAGAAATAACACCATGTCCCCCTTAAATCCTGATCAACCAGCACCTGGGCCACAGTCTGCACCGGTGCTGACTTCCAGGACCTTGGCAGGTAAAGCTCTGAATAGTCACCCTCCTCCCTCTTACTTAAAGTGAACAATATCCTCCCAAAAGAAGGAAAGGAGAAAAAGGAAGTGCTACCTGAACAAAAGCCTTTGTCCTGGCTCCTTCCTGATAATGTTTAGTTTGTAGTAGTGGCGCAGGGCTCTGGACATTTTCTCATAGGTCATGTTTGTTCTGTTCTGTTTGTTCAAAGGAGGAAGAGAGAAAAAAAGTACAAAGACACAATGAAATGAACCGCAGCAAAGGCATGGCAGGGGCTGTTAAAACAAAAGCTCCCACAGCTCACAGGGCCTGCCACGGTGGGGCAGGCTCTGTGGATCTGCGGCCACCCAGGCCCGGCCTTCCCACCCCGCTGCAATTCCTCGCACAGTGGCCAAGGCTTCTCCTGAGGTGAATCGCCTCTGGCCTGTTCGGTCCTGGCTGCTCTTAGAGCACAGCTCTTATTTCCTTTTCCCAGGACAGCTCTCTGTGGGGGCCCGAGGAATTTCCTGCTGCTTCCCCTTATCTGTGGGACAACCTTCACCTTCTGACCCACAGATAATTTGCTTTTGGTTGCAGTGACCTTTCTCAAACTTAGGTTTCTGGGTTGTCGTTTTAAGGAAGAATTTTTTTGTTTGAATTCCTGTTGTGGGAGCGAGGACGGAGTGGGTAGGAGCCCAGTCTAGGCTCATGGTTCCCCAATTGTAGTGGCAACACTGATTTATCATGTGTGTGTGAACTAGCTTCTACTGCGTTGATTCTGTGGTGCTGTGGTAACACTTGCCATGAGGTACACCCTTCACACGTTCTGAAGAGTGTGACAGTGGCTGTGGCCTTCTCACCTTTCTTGGCAACTCCCTGCCCCCTGATAGGCACTGTCCACCCTGACTCGGCAATGAGCCTATTCGTTCAGGTGAGCCAGGCAGTATCTGTCCTGCTGGGATGGGTTCAGCTCACTAGACCGATGTCCTTAAGGTGCACATAGTGGGACTTCTACCTTTTTAGGCTGACTAATCCTTCAAGGTAGAGACATAATAAAAAGTGACCAAAACAAGCTTTTATTACAGTCCCTTCCCAGAGTGGAAAGTGTCGGTAAGGACAGAGATGGGGGAGAGGGATATACAAAGAATGGAGGGGGAGGAAACTAGAAAACAGTGGAAAGAGAGAGAGTGGGTGGGGAGAAGAGATATAGAGGTAGATGAGCGAGAATGGGGAGAGAGAAACTGGAAAGGGTAGAGGGAGTGTTTGGAGAAGGGAGGGGGGATGGAGAGATGACAAGAGAGTAGAGGGAAACTGGACACAGTGGAGATAGACGGGAGAGGTGGAAGATACAGCAGAGGCATCTAGAGAGAGAGAGGAGAGACTGGAAGGCGGGAGAGAGGGGGGGAAAGGGGGTTTTGGGGACAGTGAGAGGAAGGGACCAAGGGAGACAGATACCCATGAGGCATCGGTGTGCAGAGGTAGGCTGAGGCAGGTGTGCTGGGCCCAGTCCTACCGGGGCAGGCACAGAACACAGACGTTCCATCTTTACACCCCTTTCCTCTGATCTTTGCCCGCTGCGGGACAGAGGAAGTGATTCTGGGCTCACTCAGGGAGCTGGAGAAGGCCTGCCTCGGCCCTGCTTACAAAGCAGACATGGAGCGCCCCTTACCTTATGGTTCCCCCACAGTCGAGCCAGTCCGTTGGGATCCACTATCCGGAATATTTTGGATTCTTTGTCCTCCCATCGGATGAAGTTTTCGTACCGGCTGTCAGAAAGCAATTGATAGACGTAATCCCACAGCAGCCTGCAGTCTACAGAGGAGAAGGACAAGGAAACACTTGAAGGTATTTCTAGCTGAGGCATCAGACAATCGTGGAGTAACGGCTCTGAAAGCTAATTTGATGATCGCTTGTTTCACTTCTTGTTTATCAGCAAGACACCAAGGCACTGGGGTGGGGGGGGCAGCACCTGTCGGACTCTGAGGCACCCCCGTGATGCCTCCCACTGTGCTGGTCATCGAGGATGGACCTTGTTCCCTGAAGTGGAGCACAGCCCATGGTGGGGTGAAGGCTGACCGGGGGAGGGGGTTGTGACACGTGCAGACAGGGATGGGCTAAATAACGTTAGAAAATGCAGCAGCATGTACTGTGTGATTTTCAGACAGGACAGATGTCCTCACGGCAGCAGTCTGAAGAAACCTGGAAAACTAGTCTGTCACAGTGGGAAGGAACCCAGTGCCCCGTCAGTCTCAGGTGACAGAAAAGGCCAGAGCTGGGACTCTTGAGGAGAACACAGGCTGCCTCCTCTCCCTCGCTTCCCCCAGCAGAGCTTGACGGGCGGGCTCGGACTGGGATTTGAACACTGGGGCTCCTTTCCTATGTGGGGTGAAACCTGGCACAGCTGGGCGGGGAGTATCCAATCAAGATGTGTCATTTTTAGGACCAACCTTCACCACCCAGGTAAGAGTGGGCAAGGTGCCTCACTTCCCCAAAGTTCTGCTCCTGCTTGAAGAAATGGGAACAACAGCACTTCCTCTTTACAAAGTAACTGATGAAAGTAGCAATGGTGCTGACTGGGTGCTCCTGGCAGGTGTGGGGCTGAGCCAGCTTGGGAGGAAGGTGACCTGTGGTTCCTGTTTGGTAGATGAGGAGGCTGGGGTGTGGGCCCAAGGCTTGGTGTGACTCTGAACCCCCCTCCAGAGGCAATTTCCATTTGCAGAGAAGCTGGGTCACAGGTAAAGGACTCCCCCACAGCAAGGGTTAATCCCATTTAGTATATTCCCTGAAACCCTGTTCTCTCTCTCCGCACAACTGGCATTTCCAAGAGGTTTCATCTTTCAAGGAATTACCATTAAGCTTCAAATAACTACAAATTACTAGTATCAGCTACCCACTCACAATCATCTGTATCTGAAAATTTATGTGATTTGTGATTTATTCTGCTTTAAAATACTGACAAGATACACATGGAATCTGCACCCCAGTCTACCAGAAGCTAATCAGGCACTGCTACCCCCACAAGGGTTCTTTATTGTCAGACGTGAAGGAGAGGAGAGCAAGCAGACCAATTTGAGCAACATATCTTTAGACATCAGTGTTGCCCTGTTGCAGAGTGAGAGACATCTAGCTCATTCTTATGGACGACTATAGTTTTCTAGGCAAAGCAGTGAAATCTGCAAAATGTCTCAACCTCCCTCAGTGCCTCCTTGTTTTGTAACAATTTATGACAAATGAAAACTAGAGAACTGAGCTATATAATTCAATTGTGCAATTTGTGTCCCACCACCAACTGGCAGATACCTTTAGATTTTCCACAGTCTTACCCAACAGGAACACATCTGCTACAACCAACTACTATCACAGAAAATGCCAGTACATGAGAACACTACGGGGGTGGGGGAGTGCTGTATCTCACTCCTTTGCTGTTTCCCTACAGGGTCACTATCGTTTGATCACGGAGCCCCGATGACACCCCTGAGTTCATCTGGATGAGGAATGTTGATTCTCCATTCATCTATCATGAGGTACTTAATACTGAGGAAATCTCTATATCAAGCTATAAAAGACATCCAGATAAGGCTGAGCTATATACTAGCAGTTCTCGTAGCTTCTGGCTTTCTAGAGCTCAAGCTTACAAGTGGAAGGGTCTCCTCCCACTGCCATCCATTTGCACAAGGCTTTTCAATTGACTGTCTTGGTACAAAATACTTCTCAAAAGTACACCCCATTCCTCTGAGCAAGAGCTTCAACTAGCAGGGAGACAATATAAGGTCCACACTGGTTTTTCTGAGACTTTTAAAGATCTTTTTTTTTTTTTACTAAAAAAGATCTAGAACGTTATTTGGTCTCCCATTAGTAAACGAAGAGCTTACCAGAGAACAGATTTTACCTCAAAGTTTCACAAACATTTGTGTATCTTACAAACTTTTCTGTCTCATACATATGAACATATCCTAAAATGATCAGCCACCTGGTCACCGTAAATCACTTAATCCAGCCAAGCCAACATTTGTTGGCTTATGCAGCAAAGTGAACACTCCAGACATGCTGACTTAGTTACTAATGGAGGTAACAACAGAATTTTGAGCCATAAAATTGCTTCAAAGAGGCTTTTATAACAATATTGATGGATTTTCTTAGTTAAAATTATTTTGTCATCTGGTTTAACTGCCCGACCATGTACTTTTTTTTTTTTTTTTACAATTGAAGTTCAAACCATAGTCTGAGGACTCCCTGATGACCTGGAGGTTATGACTATGACCCACCTGCACAAATGCTCTCTGATCACCAGTAAGGGCGCTCCCTGCTCTACAAAGTTTGGTGAGTTTTGTTATAAAGAGAAGATTGCCCATTACAGAACAATTGTTCAACGTGTGAACAATTTTTACAGCACAAGGTGTTCATTAATTTTAAGTGTATTTCTCTAAAATACCTACTTGCCTTGATGTAGAAGGCCTTTTAGTTTTAAACACATATCCATCATTTGGATTGTCTCCTCCATGACAGGAAGTTTATAAAAGGGGTTTATTTAGCCTGAGTGAAGTGGCATTTTCAAATTGCAGAAAGTGTTCTCTTTCTTTCCTGCTGGGTGAAGAGTCCTGGCCATCCACAGCTAAAAGGCACTGTACAAATCTTTTCCTGTGGCTAAAGAGAAATATTTTCACTCCTACGTCTGTCTCTTACCAGAAGCTCATTATATAAACTTGTTGAGCAGAGATGGTGAAAAAATGGGCCACTCACATATCCCCAACATGGTTTCTAATGCAAAAAACCATGCTGGATAAAACTGATATATAAAAAGAAAAAATCTCAGTGGGAGGTCATTGAAAAAGGGCATAGTTAATGATGGTGGGTAGTAAAAATTTCAGTAAAGCTTGTAAGAAAGTAATTTTATGTTGTTTGAACTGTCTAGATGGAATCTTATGAAGGACTGCAAAAATCCCCAGCAAGGAGCAGGTGAGCATCCCTGTCACATTTCAAGTTGAACAACAGAACAGGGTAAGTAACATGCCAAAGATTTTGTAGTTTGGGCACAAAACGGCCATTAGCAGAGTCTGAACTTACCTCCTCCCATGGATACAACAAATCTACAACTACTTATTCACTCTGAAACAGACCTGACTCTCCACAACTGGGAGTAAAAAGGTCACCTGGGTTAGGAGAGGCAGGGCCACAGTGACCCCATGATCAAGGAGCTGGTACCCCAAAACTTCTAGCAGGGTTCATGGTAGAAGAAACAAAGCTCCAGAGATTCAGCCCTTTAGATACATCTGCCTCAGGAAAAGGCATAAAGCAGCTCCCATATTTGAAGAGGAATCATTTGCAAACCTTAAAATGGCAGCCAGAGGGCAGGAAGCTGTGGGGATTCTCTCCAGGGCTGGCGGAAGCCACTGCACTTGGTGGCACTTACTCTGGTGGGTGCCATTACTGTTCTCTCTCTAACCTGCGAGCGCAGAGGGTCAGTGCCCTGGCGAATTAAGTCAGAAAGAGAAAGCCAGATGAACTAAGAAACCACAACAAAAATAACTGACTTTTACAGCAAATTGGTGGTTACCAAAGGAGAAGGGAAAGTGGGGTGGCAGGAAAGGGCACTAGGGCCCTTTTTATCATGGTGCCTGGTGCTGGAGCTTTGGTGGTGGGTATGGTGCGGTCCTGTACAGACGTGGCGCTGTATTCCTGAAACTTACATCATTTTCTAAACCAATGGTACATAAACTGAACAAATCTGAGGGACTTTATTTGGGTGGGTCCTGGACTTTGAGCAACCAAATCTGTACAGACCTCCAAAGCCCCTGCTTTGTGGTGCACATGAACAGATTAAACGATGAATGAATCGTGCTTCCTGAACAGAGTTTTGGATGAAGGGCAAGGTTGGGGCAAGCAGACAGGAAATCTGGTGACTCAGGTTTTAATGGAATTGGAGAACTTGAAATGAAAATAACTTAAAATTTTCTCTTGCCACTTAGCTGTCTATAGTTCCAGCCACAGCAGGAACTCAAGGGTTTTCACAGGAGAGACTCTGCCTGATGTCAGCAAAGACGTAAAACTTGGCCTTTAGACAAGCTGTCCTCTGACCCAGGAAAAGGCCTGGCACTCAGAGCGCCACACTTTCGGAGACAGGAGTGGTCAAACCACATCAGTCGGGTCTGCAAAGCAACATTTTCTTTCAGTTTAGCTGTGTTTTGTGTAGGCTAATGATGTGGAGGTGACTGTTCTGACTGGTCTGCAGACAGCCCGACTCCAGGACGCTCTCACATCCCTGGCTGCTCTTCCTGCATGCCTCAGGCAAGCCCTCGCCCTTGGGAGCAGGCACCGTGCTCCTGCCTTGGCTCCAGGCACCCTGACCCCACAGCTCGGCAGTGCTGAGCTTGGAGGGAGCCCTGAGTACAGGTTTACTTTGCTAGCTAGTCAGTCTTTGCTGCAACGACTCAACCCAGCCACAGCACTGCAAAGGCAGCCACGGACAATACTCAGATAGGCCCTGGCTGCGTCCCAGGAACACCTGGCTTACAAAAACAGACAGCGGCTGGTTTGGCCTGTGGGCCAGAATTGCCAGTCTGTGGCCTCTTGGTGAATCTAAAGCTCAGTTTCTTCATCTATTAAAACAAAAAAAAACCCAAAACCCTCCTTTAAGGTGGTTGCATCCTAAAGATGAATTTCAATACTGAGTTGGTCCCTGAACACCTCAGGGTTGACTCACGAGCTGGTGTTGGTCTGCATTTTCCACTCAGGGGTTCAACCCTCAGATGTCACGTTGAATGTGCAAATGGGGAATTTTGGATCTGGGGGTATCTTACAACCACTTCCCCCAGAGGCCAGGGCTCAACTGTACTTAAGCTTTTGAGGAGTAGAGTTTCACAGGGATTTTCAAAATCAAGGGGAAGCAAGCGAGGGGCTTCCCTACCGTCGTGTTGTTCAAGGGTCACCTGAAAACATGACTCCGCCGAATCCCATCAACCCTTGGTGTGCATACAGCTGATAAACTCTCTGGTGCTAAAAGCTGGCAGAGATAAGAACCAGGAAGGCTTCTCCGGGCCAAGAAGAATGTTGGAAAACAGACACTGCAACCCCCATTTACCCCCTGCCCTCGGCAACTGCTTCCTGAGGATAATACATAGTAAGTAGAGAAAGATGGAACTTGCTAATGTTCACATCCACCACTGGCTAGTCAATAAATATGGGGACTCGGGGTCTTGTTTATGTCCCATTTACTGCTCCTCCATAAAGCCAGCCATTCTACCTTGTTAAGCCCAGAATACTTCTTGTTCTTCAGAAAAAAGTGGTACCTTTAAAAATAAGGTATGGGCTTTATTTTACTAGATCTGAACTGTCAACTGAATCCCTGAATTTCCTTCGCTAGCTGAATCTTTCCACAAGGTGGAAAATACCTAAGTAAGCTATTAAAAGTTCACACGTAATCTCTTACTTGTGCGATGTATCTTAATTTCAGAGACTTTAGAAAGTAAAGAGAAACAAAGGAATTGATAAAAGATGATGGAGTGACTGATCTGGACTCTTGGATTTACATTTCTATCTGAAATAAAAAGAACACGGGTCCTGGCCTTGATGCGGAGTTTGCGCCTTTGGTCTCCATCTGCCCTTTGCTAAGCATAACCTGAGCCTAGCTAAAACCAGCCCCTCCCCTGACACCTCCACTCTCCCTACAGTGAGTGCTTACGAGAGACCCTCAAAGACACCACCTGCCTTAAGGACACTGATGTGCTCTGACAGCTGCACCCCAAGAATGCAGTACCTTCAATCCACACAGACTCCGAATGCAGAAACCCCAGCAAGCTGCAGCGTGATGAGCAGGATGCTGGCTCTGCCCTCTGAACTGTGCTCACCGGAGGCGCCACGGTGTTCATCAGCGTGGCTGACACTCGGCAGCGCCTTCATTCCCGCCTGTACGATGCTATTTAAAAAGCCGAAAGAACTCCATTTTCTCATCTAACAGCTCCTTGATGGGGATTTGAAGGATTTTTATGGGTTCAGTCATGAAAGAACTTTACATTGTACCTAGGAATTATTACCCAATGAATTCACCCCCAATAGGTGGAATCGATTTTACACAGCATCTGAGGCATCCAGAAGGATACTGAGAGGGTCAGACTGCAGAGCCAGGGACATCTCTGGTGGCTGTTCTGAGGTTCTGGAGCCAAGTCTGAGGGTGGCACAGACTTTCAGAGTTGGAGTGAGACTGCAGGTTTTACAGCCTCCTCATCTCACCCCTGGGAAACAATGCTTTTTAGTTAAACCTGTTCATTCTGGAGAGTATTAACATTTTGCCCAAGGCACTAGAGCACTGATAATAATTTTAGGGGATTCTAGCTTATTGAAGGAGTAAACATTCCCCCCAAAGGATGTGGATCCCGGTAGTATTTTACACGAGTATTCTGACTTTCTAGAATCATAAAGAAAAGCACACCTTTCCCTTTTTGGGTGTTCCTGGGACAATAGGGGCATCCACAAACACCAAGGCTCATCACTTGGTTTGTACAATATTGCATGGAGCATCTTACTGAGGAGACAACATCCATCACCCAACAGTTCTGATATCCAGGAGCACACTTTAAAAAACTAGCATAATTTCCACGAGTCTAATATTTAAAAAATCTACTAAACAAGGGGAAAATAACCCCATAAATCTAATAATGTAACCATTGTTATGTAAGGGTTCACCTTAGAAGTCCAGGGTGAAGATGGGTCTGGAGTGGCGTCAGGCCCAGGAAGGCAGCACTCTGGACAGCGGCCGGTGGGGGTGGCCTGCATTTGCTCTCAGACTCCAGGGGCTCAACACACTCTGTCCAAATGGCCCTTCCATATAAAATCAATCTAGCAGAAAAAAGCCACCTAAAAACTGTTCTGAGAATTGCAAACAACTACATAATCTCTGCAAAACATCCAATACTGTTGCACCAGTCACTGAAATGCCTGACAAGGCAGCAGCCTACACACAAAGGGTCTCCCCAGGAAAATGCAAGACAAGACAGGCCACTTATAATACAGCGACCAACAGACCCGGTCCTCTTTCTTCAGGTATCTGGGGAAATTAACATATTTTGCCTAAGTGCTTTGCTTCTTTACCCTCTGTTCCTGGCCTACAGTTTCTTTTATTATTTACAAAACACTTACAGAAACACAGAGGAACTGATACTGTGAACTCCCTGGGCACCCTTCACCCCATCAGGCAATGCAAGACTCCTCTCATTTACACAGACGCCACTCTTCCTCAAGCCCAGCCTCCAGGGTCATTTTGCACCAAATCCTAGACACAGATCATTTCATTTTTCAGTTTCTTAAACACCTACGTCTTATCCCCATGCCTTTTTAAGGTCCTAGATTCAAAATTCCTGATGTAGATTACTTATAACAATGTTGAGGCACCACGGGAAATAAATAAATCTTTAAAAAAGTAGTCAATGATTTAAATAAAAATACCTGAGTCCAGGTGGAGGCCTCTGAAGTAGTCTGGGGGGCCACGTGGGTCTTGCTCCTTTCTGGGGTTCAGGCAGCTGTCCTATGGCATCAGCTCATGGAGGTGCTCTTCTCCCCTTCCCTGAATAGGTCTGACTTCCCCTGCCCCTAACCCATGACTAGAAAGCGCAAACCCCTCAGCTTTGAGCTACCTCTCTGCAGTCTTCCTCGAGTCTTCCAGTCAAAATGTACCTTCCTGTTGCTTTGTTTCTACAGCACTTAGTTATTCGAGCACAGGATGTGCGTTCAGTAAGTGCTGTGAGATGAATGAAGGGGACCTAGGACTTACTGAATTCTGCCTTTTATTTCATTAGCAGTTTCCACATCTGCCCCACCCAGTAAATGTTAAATTTCTTGAGGAGCAATAGATCAGTTGTGCTCCCTACCGCGTAGTGTATTTACCTGCCGCTTAGTAGGTACTCAATAAATGCACCTTGAAAAGCGAGTGACTCTCGGAAGAAATAACCTTGCATTCTGGAGAATGACTTCATATACATTGTAGGTGGGCTAACAAAAATAAAACATGTAGAATTTTTCACTGCTTTCCCTTCTTAGGGGAGCCAATCCAGGCTTGTCATCATGCCTGTCAAGGAATTTGGGAGTGGTTTCCTCCATGTGGCAGGCCCACAGTCCCTGCCTGCCACCCCACCACCCCATGCTCCTCTCTTGCAGCCTCCCAAGGGGGTGGAATTACAGGCCTGAATCTGAGACAAAGGTTCTTTATGCTGTGCCTGGTCATTAATTAGCTGCTGGAAACTTCAGGACAGGGCCATTAACATGCTCATAAACCTTTTATTTTAAATGTTTTCGCTTAGCCATGAGTCTGATGTGACTCTCCTTGTACGCTGGACGTAGGACATTTGTTTCTGAACACTTCTGAGGCTCATTAACTACTCCATCCCAGCAGCTCATTAACGAGCCCATTAGGGATTTTGCCTCATCCAGGCAGAAGCCTCCGCTTGCCCTGGCAGAGCCTTTGAGGGCACTAATTGGGCTGATGTGAGTTCACTGCAGGGCTCCAAGGAGAGAGTCCGGCCTGTCAAGCCCCCACCCCCCAAGGCTGAGCCGGCGACAAGAGGGGAGGCTCACTCACCTGCTATTCTCCCAATGGGCATGGCGTGCTCCTCGGGCGGAGAGACGGACACCATGATGTGGTTCATGTAGGCCAGGTCCTCCCGGTGTGACAGGTTGATAGGCTTGCCTTCCCGGTGCAGCCCGTCCTCGGAGAGCCGCGACTGTTTGAAATCCACCGAGTGCCGGGGGTTCAGGATCAAAGGGTGCATGATGGGGCTGGGCATCAGCTGGATCACGCGGGTGCTCTCCTGCCGCGGGCTGGAGGGCTTCTGGTGGGACTCCGAGGACGGCGGGCAGTGGTTGTTCTCCATGGGAGACACGGACAGAGGGTAGGGCTCCTGGTGGTTGTTCTCCTGGTGGAGCCTCGGGCCCTGGGCCCGCTCGGCCGGGGAGAGGCGGCGGATCATGTTGTCCAGGGGGGAGCGAAGGGGCCGCTGCTCAGGGTCGGGAGAAGGCCGGTGGTTGGTGGTGATGGGAGACCTGGAGCGGTGCAACAGTTCAATGGTGGGGGGGTTGTGGTGCACACTCTCCACGGGCGGCCGCGGGGGCCTCTGGACACAGCTATCTGTGGAGCAGAGGGAAAGACCATCACAGACTCGGGTGAACAGTCAGGAGCAGCCTGAGGTGGTTTAAAGGTGACAAATGGGGGGGGTGCAGGCATGCTCCGTGTCACACCCTTCTCCCCAGGAGGCAGCGTGTCTCTGCCATCGCTGAGAAAACATTCGAGTGCACATACTACAAATTCTTTTCCTACTGCTGGACCGGCTAAGAATGTCCACAGCATTCCATGAATCTCCTGCTTGTGGCTTATCGACATCATGAAGCCTAAACTTCACTCTTTCTATTTGTTACTTGACACTTTGGTGTGGCTCTCAGGGTCCCTATGGGTTTCTTTCCAGAAGCTTTTTCTTGGCTTCTATTTTCATAACCACGTCTCCTTATTCTCTACCTCCACGAGTCGCTGTTGATATGAATGATTATGACAACATGCTTACACAATTACTCTATAGCTGTAGATTCTATTGTTTAAGACTTACAACACTGAAGTGGGAGATAATGCCAATAGGTAGAAAGACATAAAGAAGTTAAGCATCTACTCAAGGTCACATGGATAGGGAAGGGATTAAGATTAGGACCAGACCTCGGTTGGATTCTAGAACCTATGTGCCAAGTACAACAGCTGCTACTTTATGTAAAACTAAGGGAAAAGTCATGTCAAAATCTGCACTGAGCATGAACAGTGGCCCTCATTGGCAGAGTGACAATCTTGTACTTGAAAGAACATTGAGGAAGTCCTGTCGCAAGTGTGCAGGCCCTGCAAACAGTCTAAGATAGGCAGAGGGAAGTGAGGAGGAGGAGTGGACACCCTAGTGATAGCTGTGTCCTGCCCCACTTGAACTTGCAAACCGGTGATATCTGAGAAATGACGCCACCCAAGTGGATGCAGCCCAGCCAGGCAAGCTGCTCTGTGGGAGGGCCTGGCACACACAGGAGTCAAGGATAGAGACTTATAAAAATGGAGCTGTCACGGGGCCCCGCACTGGCCTAAGTGCAGTTTCTCTGGTCACATCTGTTCCCAGAGCTGTCTCAGCAAAAGGGCTTCATGCTCCCTGGTCCTTGTTCTGGCCAAAGACTTGCCCAGGTGTTCAAAGTAATCTCTGCAAAAATGGGAGGTTCCAGGCTCCCTGCCCCAAGGAATTAACAGGGGGGAGTTGAGTTGGGAGGAAAAGATTCTGGAGAGAAAAGTTGGACACAGAGAGAAGACTGTGTCTCAACAAGGAGGAAGACATGAAGAGGCATGTGGAGCGGAGACAGGTGAGGAAGAAAGCTCACTTGCTTCTCAGTTTGGGACTTGCACCAGGGACTTGGGGGCATGGGAGGGACACATGGAGCCGAGACATGTAGAGACGACTGGGAGGGACGCGGGTGATAGACTCACGGGAGGGTAAAGTGGCCACCATGAGTGTGACTCGTTCTTTGACTTTGCTCCTTTAGTCGCAGACTTACCTGGTCCTTCTGCCCCTTTCTTCTAGTTCCCTGGCAAGGGGTGCCTTACAATGTGGCAAATTTTCAGGCCTCAGTTTTGGGCCAACCCTGTCTGGCTGGGCACTTACTCACCAGGCGATGGGTTCCTTTGGGTTTTAACGGGAAACTACTATCCTTTCTTCTCTTCTTTATGCACACTATGCTCTAAAAGCCCTTTCACGCTAAGAGGATGCTCTGTATTTATGTTGTGGATGGCGGAGCCCATGCAGAGCATGCAAGTCAGAGATACCACCTTCACCCATTATATAGTAGCCTTATGAAGAATTTATTAAGGCGACCTGAGGACCTGATAGGGCTAGTAGACAGAAGCGGAGGTGGCTTTTATGTAAAGTTTTACACAGGGTTATTTAATAGGAAAGTAGGGATTCCACTCTTGCTCACCTGTCATGTAAAACAATAAACAAAAGAAATACTGTCACAATCACCAAAAGATCACCTCCTTGAATGCACAGGGGCTTATTCTATAAAACTATATAAACTGCTGCCATGATTTAAACGCACTTGATCACTGGAATAGCTATCAATAGGTGACTGGGTTAATAACTTACAGTGTATCTTTAAACATTGGAGGACAAGGCAGCTGTAAAATGGAGTAAGGAGCATCTCAGTATTCTGCTAAATGTCTTCTGTGATGAGAGAAGAAAAGCAAGATGAAATTTTCATGGTAGGCTACCACTTTTCTAATAAAGGAGGAGTTCCAGTTTCAATGATAGCCTTCTGATACACAGAAATGATATATACTGCATAAAATACACTTATAAAAATAACTAGGAAAATAAGAAGATTTCACTCTTGAAGAAGGGACCCGCACACAATGAAATCCGAATCTGTACAGCTCTCCCCATTGAGGGCCTGTCCTGGTCCATCTAGCACATGGCAGGTAGAAAATGAATAGAATATTCCTTGAAATGTCAGAGCATAGAGTTTGGAGCTGTCTGAATGGCAGAAAAATTGAGAGAGCAAATCTCAGGAGAGGAGAGTTTCTGAGGGAGTAGCCATTAAATTGACACCTAAAATTTCCTCAAATCCTTATCCAGCTCCTGGACAACACACACGCAGAGGAGTCTCTTACAGCTCAGTGAAAAGCAACAGTTATGACTCAAAGTTGTGAGCAGCATCTCAACTACTGATCACTGTATTGCTGATACAGTACAAAGTTTGAGTCTCATCAACGAAGGCTGTATAGACACCTCAGGCTATTCATTACCCTAGATCAGTCACACTATAGGAACAAAAGCTTTACTCCAGATTTGCCTAAGGAGTGAAACAGACAAAACTGAGATAGAGTGGCCCTAACACAGTGTAAAAATTCAATTCAAAGTGGCTGGCAGTGACTGGCTAGTCATTTAATTCTCTGCTAGGATAAAGAAGTCAACACTCTTCAGAGGAATAGCATATACTCTTGCATCTTTACAATGCATTATTTACCATGGTCAGAATCCAATGAAGATTTTCTAGACATGTGAAGAAACAGAAAAATGAGGCCCATCATCAAGAGGAAAGCCAGTCAACAGAAATAAGCCCTGAGATCACCCAAATGTTAGAATCAGCAAAGAAGGATTTAAAGCAGTTCTAAGACCAAACAATGGATATAATGGTCAAAATAACTGACAAGAGATGTAAAGTGTCAGAGAGATAAAAATGGTAAGAAAAAAAGGTTCAAGAACTTAAACATACAATATAAAAGATTGGAATGGACGGAGTTAATAGCAGGTTAGAGATAACGGAAGAAAGTTAGTAAAGCTTAAGACAGATCAATAAAAACTAAAAGAGCACACAGATCCTCAGTGACATTCCTCTAATATATCTGGAACTATAGTCCAAGGAGAAGCACACAGAAAAGGGATTAAAAAAATGAAGAAATAATGATCATAAACTGGCAAAAAAAAAAAACTAAAAAACAAAAAAAAAGCTCAGAAAATACTAAGCATGATAAATACAATGAAAGCTACACCAAACCACATCATTATCAAATTGCTGAAGAACAAAGAGAAAATTTTGAAAGCAACCAGGATACAGTTTGTTCAGGATGAAAATTATATTAGTTATGACTAACTTCTTAGAAAGAGGCACACTGACCATTTGCAATATGGCCTTGCTTGGATTCAGACAAACTGTAAACACATTTATAAGATAGTCGGAAAAAAATGTGGTTATTAACTAGCTATTTGATGATACTGAAGAACTTTTATTTTTCAGGTGATGTAATGGTTCTGCTTATGACTTTTTTTTTTTAAGATGTTTTTATTTATGCATATAGAACTGGGGGTAAAGCCAGAGGTGCAGGGGCGGTGAGAGGATTCACCAGAGACATAGTAGGGAGTAGAACAGGCAGATTGATGAGTACACTGCTGAGGGAAGCAGCAGGCAGGTCAGGAGAGGTCTGCTGCACCATGTGGGTCAACTCCCTGGCGGGGGATGGAACTCACACTGAAGTGGCTATGGCTAGCTTACAGTGCTGAGTCTTAAAGGGAGGGCCCTTTATGACTTTTTATAAAGCATCCTTGTCTTTTCAGACCTCCATTGACATATTTACAGATAAAATGATAGATTTGGGATCTGCTTTAAGGTAATCTGGGATGATGAAGCAGATGCAGGTAGGCCACTGAAGAAACAACACCTATATGAGTTGATCATGGAAGTTGGTGGGTCACGGTGGTTCATTACACCATTCTCCACTGTTACATGGTTTCCATATTTCCACTTTAAAAAGCTCTTTTGAAAAAATTGCTAACCAGTGTTGCAAGGGCCCAGGTTGAGATGACAAATCCTCACTTCCTTACTTTCATTCAAATGCAGATCCATGCTTTCAGTGTACATTAGCCCCTGGTGCTCATTACAGTTAACTTTAATGGCTGGAAGTTTTAGAGTGGTAGAAATGATCTTCAATCTTTTGGGGATGAGGTGAATTTTCTTTTTCTAGCTAATATGGATCTCCACTCTGTTGCGCACAAAAAGAAACTACCTTGTGTCTCTGGTTCAATTTTAATTGTCACCGAGTATGTGATCAGGGTAAGCAGTGACTGAACACAGCTGCATTCTGAAGGTTCACACAATTTGCTTCTAAATCCCGTTTACAATATGTCGCCCTGTACTTAAGTTTATTAAAGTTTAAAAATACTTAAGGATGATGAAGACCATGTAATGAAAAATCCTATTTCCTGGATCCATTTCCTGTCTTACAAATTTCAAAACGGACACAGGCGTTGGCCAGCAGTCTGGTTACCTGCGGCCTGTCTTTGATGTTCTGGGCTTCAAGGCTCAGTGCCTGGGTGTGCACACAGGGCAAGCCTGAGGAAGTCTGGGAGGACTATGGGAGGAAGAACTTTCATGCCAAGGGTAAAAGGGAAACTGATGTAATGTCCTGGAGAGATTTCACTCTCTGTCCCTGCCCAGATCTTTGGGAACAATGACAGGGAGACGAGACAGTGCTCTGGATAATCCAAGTCGGATTTTACTTTTGACTCAGGATCCGGACAGGAATAGGACTCGGAGGAGCTTGATTTATTTATTTCTCTG